GCTGAAAGAAATACATTTGCCTTAGAGTCATCAGATATTCTACCCACCGAACTCATCCTCCAAGATAGCATACCTAATGAGCTTCCTAAGCCAATTAAACATAAGCAGGAAGCATGAGTCATCAGAACTATTTTTGGCTAATCAGCTGACTGCACAAATGCATGCCATTAAGGAAAGGGGAACACCCTAAAAGTTGTAGGTTTTTTCACTGTCCTGACTTCACTTCTCAATTTTATGGATGCAGCATCTTGCACAGGACACTGCAAATGAGTGGAGTGCCTTATGCTATATAAAGTGCTTTCCCTTACATTCAGTAAAATAAAATAAGTTTTAATGGGCTTAAGTGATTTGCTTAAAGGCACAAATTAATGTATGTCTGGGGCTCAAAATCGTGCCCTTTCCTCTGTTGTAATTGTTCTATGAATATGTATGTATTGATCGACTTTCTACCTTTCATGACTAGAGAATAGGTTCAAGGGTTCGGAATGCTGCCATCTTGACAACTGGGCAGACTCAGATAGCACCAAGACAGGGTGAGGATGAAGGGAAACATTTTTACCCCCGCATAGGTTCCCTTTTTCAAAGACAGAATCGGGGTACTGGTATCAGTTCCTACTGGTTATGATGATAGTAATGATCCAAATAACTAACGATTACTGAGCACTCATAATATGCTAGTGCTTTATTAAGCCCAAATAATAGTCTCAAAGCCTTCCAAATAGACCTTCTTCTCTTAAAGTTACAGAGAATGTAGACCCAGAGAAGTAATGTTAAATTTTTTAACGTTGTAAATTTTGAAAAATGCTTATAGTATGTTCTATATTTTATGAGTCTATGGAATAACTATCCATGTATGTGATGAAATGAAGAGAGATTTGATACAGTATGTGGCATGAGTATATCTACTGAAATATAACTGATTTTCATATGTCATTTATAAAAATTGGCTTCATTATCATTCTGTAGGGTCATTTTATTTGTGTATGTTACTTTAAATGTGCACATGTGGAAATTGTTTTGTTTTACTTAAAGACATGTGGGTAAGGCTCCTCTTTGTAAAGAGCTGATTCCCTGGGAAAGGACAGGGGATGATTTCATTGCCTAGTGACCCAAATCATAAAGTTAAAGTTTCCTGCCTACTCTAGAAAAAAAATGAATATTTTATATACATAAGTTTTTGACACTAGATTCCTTTTCCCAGATATTCATTTAAAAATGTAATTGAAATACCCTTTTTTAAAAATCTAGTTTATCTATGGCAAACACAAATATTTTGGGGAAATATTTCTTGGCATTATCCTTCAATGTTAATTTTTTGTTTAAACAACTTTTAGATGCTTCCAGGAGCCCAGGAATGAGATTAACTTCTTTTTAAGATTAAAAAGAAAAATAAGTTAGCAAGATCACAAAACTAAACCTTTAGTCTGTTTTTCTTTTCCTGATTTTCATATTATTTCCTTTATATTAATTTTACCTTATTGCATATTCATGAAGGCTGACTGTGAAATAAGAAATATATACTGAGTACTTTTTAAGAACTAAGACTACGTCTTCTCCTGTGATGTGAATTATATCCTTCAAAATACATATGTGTTTGCATAATATGTGTTCAATTAATGTCATTGAATAAATAAGTGAATTCATCTACCAGTCAATAAGCATGAATCCAAAAGCTATTCTAGAATATCATGGCCTCTGAAGATTAGAGTAAAAGTGAAAGCACTTTACTAAATTAGATATATAGGACATGGAAAACAGAGTAAATTTAATAAATTATTTTCAAATTTCAAATGAAGTCAAGCTTACTTATTTAGGATCTATAATGTGGAAATCCCTCTAGTCATGATTGGGAGAATAAAAATGATGAAATCGTGGTCTCATCTTTGTGAGACTTACCATCAACCAGGAAGGCATGGCATATGCTCAGAAAACTTAAGTAAGTGCCTATGAATGGGACACATAGATGTAAAAGATCCAAGAAATACGTATGGAGTGGGACAAGAGTTATTTGAGTTTGAACTTGAGGTTTAAGTATAATATGATGAGTTGAAATAGAGGAAAGGGGGATTCTATGTGGAAGAAAAACAAGAGTTGGAAATGAGAAGAGTATAAAACAAGCACAAACAAAATTATAGACCTATAAATTCACACAATTTCCGTGTGAAAAGCAAACTGACTGCTCTGGGGCAGAATCTAGGTGCTGGCGGACTGTGTTTAGACATAATTAACAAAAACAAAAACATAAATTGGACTGCAGCAAAAATTTGAACTTTATTTTCTAGGCCTCATTTCCAAATGCATGTCAATGGGTGTTGAGTGAGGGGAAGGGGTAATTTGCTTATGTAAATTTGGAAAATGTGAAGTGACGCTCAACTGTTCAACAAGATTGCTTACTGTGAGGATCCTCAGGAGCCTTCAGTTTGTGGATATCAAGAAGGGGGACCATTGTAGGAATTTCACAAACATTTTGCCATAGGATCTCTTTCTGTGATTTGTCTGTCTGTAGTGATATTTCTCCTCTGGACCCATGTTGGGAACAAGCAGTTTTTGACAGTTAAGAGTCACAAGGAGCATTAAGGCAGAGAGAAAGGACATGGTGAAAGTACTGATTTGGGGGAAAAAATATGGTAGTAGTATGTGGAGAGACTGACATCCCCTGCAATAAGGGGTTGAGAAGAGAAGTTGTAATGATACATGAATAGTGGAGATGAAAGGTTATTTTAAGATACAAAGCAGTAGAGTGCATTTTTAGATCCAATCACTGCTTAGAGATGAAGTATTGTAGGAAGAGCTGGAGATAAAGACTTGGGTGTAATTTGTATACAGGTGAGAGTACAGTCTGTTAAGTTGGATTCCCAGAAAGAGACTACAAAGGAAGAACAGAGGTTTCCGTTATTCATGGAAACATTTATCTTTACTTTCTTGGAAACGTGAGGAGAAGGATGACCAGAGTAAGAAGAAATCAGAATAGTTTAGTCCAAAAAAGTGGGATTTGAATAAGGATCTTGCTGTGAAAAGCTGGTTTTGTTGATTTGCAAGATAAATTTTATTATAATTGTGAGAATGAAAATGAACATTTGTGGGTGTGTGATGGTGGAGTAGTAAGAAAATGAGCATTGTAAGGCAGAACTTCCATGCAGAGGACACAGAGATACTGACCCTATTAGGGGGACATTGGATTATTGGGAACCTGGAAGTGTGGGTCGGTTGGAATTTTGAGTATTTTTTGATGAGTTGATATAGGAAACGGTGATTACGTCCTATGTTCAGGGACTTGGAAAACAATGAGAGGGATTGTAAAGAGGCAGAGAAACTGAAAAGTGAAGAAAAGGTAAAATCTGATAGCTTGTTTCCCAGGGGTATGATCTTCTCAGTGAGGTGGTGTCTTGTGGAATATTAAACTCTTGTTCGGAGAAATATGCTAGAGAATCAGGGGAGACTTCTTTTTGAATTTAACACCTAATAACACATTTAGCAAATGATAATAAATAGAAATAAGTTCTGGAGAGAATTTTTAAATTATTGTCAAATTGTTTTACCATTTCATTTTTGTTAGGGAAAATTAATCTTAAAGAATTGTAGTATTTCGGGGTACCTGGGTGGCTCAGTTTGTTCAGCGTCTGCCTTCGGCTCAAGTCAGGATCTCCAGGTCCTGAGATCGAGCCCCGCTTCGGGCTCCCTGCTCAGTGAGGAGCCTGCTTCTCCCTCTCTCTCCCTCTGCCCCTCTCCCCCTCTTGTGCTCGCTCTCTCTCAAATAAATAAATAAAATCTTTAAAAATTTTTAAATTAAAAAAAAGAGTTGTATTATTTCACAGTTTGTGACTTAATTGTATTTTTAATTTTGAAAGCTTATAAATTGTCAAAGTCCAGTTGCTTTAATGTAAGTGTTCTTTAAATGCTAAACATGTTCATCTTAGTTGTACTGAGGATATTTCACCCTATGTTTTTCAATTTGAAGTATTATCCTTGGGCTGTGTGTTTCATTATTGTCTGCTAATCCACACTATTATCTAGAAAATCTCTTAGAAGTAACAACCCTAATACTTTCATAAAGCACCCTGAAAATGTAAATGCCCATTAAGTGTTCAGCAGGGGTACATTTCATTCATAATATAGCAGTACCCTCTAGTGCTCATGCTTGGTCATGTGTTCTCCAAAACTGCCTTACAGGGGTATATGTCACCTATTGAATCACTTTACTCGGGTTTAGCTTTAAGTGAAATATTCTATTATTCATAACATCACCTTCTTGAAAAGGAGTTCAGGTATTTCCAATATTACTCAAAAATATTACCAGTACTTTTGTGCTGTAGGGAAAAATGGCTATTCCGTCTATTTTGCTCATGTAAGTAAATGAAATGCTTGAGAACAAAGAACCAAGAAGTTGGTTAAATTTCTTAAGTGATTTGTAGAAATGGAAGTAGGATCTAAGTCTTTTGTTCCAAGGTTCAGTTCTGTGCCATATGCATTGGACGATGCATCTGATCCAAGAAGGTTTAAAGCTATAAATGTATATGTCCAAAATTCTTCATTCTTTAATGGAAATGTTTCTTAAAGAATATTACTCTATTTTGAGAAATTTTGGATTGTTGGTTTACAACACAGCACAATAGTACTGCCAACATACTGCAAGGAGGTTGTGTTGTATTGAAATTTGATTTACCATGCTTAAACATGTTAATTCAGAACGAAAGGAATCTCCAGCCAAACTATTCATGAGCAAGAAGGACTGGCTTATTTGCTTTCCAAAGCCTCAACCCAAGCTTGATCACTGAGTTTATATGCAGATTGTAGACCTGCATAGCTGTAAGACCTTAACCATTACTTACTCTTATTTTGGTAGTTTTAATTTTTATTACAGACTTGATTTGGTCAGGTGTTCTCACCAAAATAGTAGATCCACATAAGAAAATAATTCTAATTTCTACATATGTTTCTGAATAGCTTCCTCGGGTGATTTGAGTTTGCTATTAATAAATGTTTTTGGTATCCATATTTAGTTGTTACAGGGTAGGTCACCCAAACCCGACAAGTGGGAGCTCCAGATGGGCAGTGGTGGTGGCATGGTTGAACAGGTCAGCGGGGACTGTGATGATGAAGATGGTTGTGGTGGATCAGGAAGTGGAGAAGTCAAGAGGACACTAAAAATCACAGACTGTAAGTGTATGATTCCAACACCACTTCTAAAGAATGAATTTTGAAGTATAATTGAGGATAATTATTACTATGAATGCAAAGGAATAAGGGCAGTGAATTCAGAAGCATACAAATGGAATTGGAAAGGACAATGAAAGCGTTTTCAGTTATTCAGAACATGTATTCTTGGGGGTGTTGTTCATTTTTAACTAATGGCTTTCAATGGAAATGACATTTTTTTTTCTGTGAAAGATTTGTGAACGACCAGTTCTGAGAATTAAAGGTCGGATAATCCTCAGGGCTTGAAATAACTAGCAGAGTGGCTATTAGATGTATATTGGCAAATAATGTGAAATCAGGATAGGAAAACTCTACTAAATAATCAGATTCTGCAACTTCATTATATTGCGCCATTCTGTAAGAGATATCTTACTAGGTTTTCATCATAGTTGAATTACAACGAAATTGGTTAAATATGGGGTTATTTATAATGAAAAACTACTTGGATTTAACTCTTAAGAATTCATTCTTCCCAAAAACTCTCACCAATCATTCGCCTCGTTTTGATTGTATGGGTTTGAAAACCATTTCCAGTATTGCGGGACTGGTCACCACCACACAAGCTGGAACTTCCAAATGACAACAACAACAAATCACCAGATGAATTTCGTTTTCTTTTCTTCACTTTACAAAATGAGGAATATTGGCTCTCCTTGTTACGCACATGCAGATGTTCACATGGGCAAGACAAACAAAGCTATCAACTGAGAAAGCAGTGTGCAAGTTAATGTACCCAAGGCAGCTAACTTTCGGCTCTTCATTTATCTGAGGTCATATCAAAGGTGATTACTTTATAAAGTAATTTTCTGGACCTGTGCAGCCCTATCTGGAGGATGGTGGAATAGTCTTCCTCTAAATCACAAAGGGCTGCTTTGGAACTGTTAGACATGTCCTTTCTTGACTTTGGTGGGAGAATTCATTTACTTTTCACTTCTTGTAGTAAATTTAGATCACTACACATGCTTCAAGCATCAACACCCCATTCTTTCTAGGATCTTGTTTTATAAGGCAAATATATTGTTTAAGGGAATGAAAGCCACAGAGGTGCAAAATCCAAAGGGCAATTAATATAAAGAAATATGTTTTCCTGTTTGACACAAAGAGAAAGTAAATAGATGGGGTTTAATACACTGGAGCAGCAATTGAACAAAAGGCCACAAAAATTTCTTGATGTATTAATGCAATTTCCTAGTGAAAATTAAGTATCTTCTACTTGTGTAGGAGCAGGTAAGGATATGTGTTTTATTATTGGTATTAATATAGTTTATCAGATTGATTCTTCTGTTTTCTATATTTTGCTGTTTAGGCCAAAACAATAAAAAGGGAAGAAGTAGAAAATGCAAATAAAAGGGTTTTCTAGAAAAAAAAAATTATTCTTACTAAGAGTTGAAATGTCCTCCATTGTATTTTGGAATTAGGATACTTATTAGGTTAATATTAGTTAATCTTTCATTTTCATTTTATCTTGAGTATTTATATGTATCATAATTTCATTGCCATTTGAATATTATGGTTTTAAGGAATAAACATTGATATAAAAATAGTTTAGGTTGAAATTTCATCTATAAATTATGTGTGTGTGTGTAAGTGTAGAATTTAGCATTTTTATAGGGATTTTTTCACTCTTGGATTTATTTATAAGCTCAAGAATTCATTATGTATTAATAGATAACTCTTGTTTTATTTCACAAGAGAAGTAGAGACAGTGGAGGATATTTAACTACTAATAATTTTCTCACAAAACCATACTTGTCAAGGTGGCAAGAATGCATTTTTACTTCAAAATCCTGTTTTCAATTATTACTGATATGAACAGGTGTGGTACAAGCAACTATCCATCAGAATTGGAGAGATTTAAGATTTAGATGGTTTTCAGCAACTCCAGGCAAACATTTAAAAAAACCCACACCTGCAATAAGTGGGTTGCTTCTCATGTTTCTGAGTTTATAGCTGTTACCTTTCAATTTTTAATAAGTGGTTAGGAAACCACTGTGGATAGTAGGCTGAAATAAACAGGGACAGAGAAAGTGGCAAAGCATAGGTCACGTTTCTATTTTTATAAAGCACTATCATATTTTCCGTGTGTTTGGCTCGTTTGATATATTGCTAAAGCAAGCTAAGACATCGTTTTGGGTGGTCTTAATGACTTAAAACCCATGTGCTCTAGCAAGTTTACCTGGTGTTGTTTGTGTAAAGAACTTGAAATGCACTTATTTCTTCTATACACTGATGTTATTCTTTATAAAAAAGAAGTAACTAGAATACAGTTCATTTGTCACCTCAAAATGTCTCATTAAAAATAATTACACATACATGTATGTATGTATTTATAGCCATATATATATGTTACATGGAATAATACTAATACTGTGTTCTGCAAATTAGATTTTGCTCCATTTATGAAAATTTTCAAAGTTGATGAATATTTTACTAATTATCACCTGACCTGATGTTCTGTCTGCTTTTGGTCATGTTTATTTCAGATAACAGAGAGATCGATACACTTTAAAGTGCAAAGTTTTACCATCAAAATATTTCTATACTTTTTAGGCATGATTTTGTTTTCATCACCGATGGTATCAAATAATTTAACAAATACTTAGCTTTTAAAACTACCTGAATTACAGGATCTAAATGGCTTTGAACCTTCATTTTGCCTCACCTCTGACACTCACTCTCCTTTCAAAGTCGCTAATTGATGCGGGTTCTGAACACCAGTGGAAAAAAACAAGTTCTGTTCTCGTAGCCAGGCAGAGCAAACCAACGGACACTATCATCAATACTTTTTCAACTACTTGACTATTCTTCTAATATCCCCCAATTCTGAGAATTTCAAATGAAAAACAACCCAGAATGCCACTAAAAAACAGGTTGTCACAAAACCATTTCCTGTATAGTTTTAGAATAGTAGCACTGCTTGCAATTCTCATGTGATAATATAATTTCAGTTTCATTTTCAAAAACAAAGAATATGTAACCTGTGACCAAATTCATTTTGATAACAGTGGTTTACACTGATAACTCAGGCAAAATGAATTTGACCACACATTGATTCAGATAAAATACATTCAAGAAGAGTAGGGTGATTTTCAGTCTTCCAGTTGTTCGAGATAATTTCTATTGTCATATTCATCATGGCTCATATAATGTTATATAGTGTGGTTAGCAGTTTTAAGAGTAATTTTATTTTAGCTGAGTAACTGTAAGTGACAACAAAGATCGTTAAATGTGTGTTCAGGTGACTTTTGTTCTAGTGGTGCTCTCAGCATGCCTCTGTAGAAGGGTCATTGTGTGGGCTCCTTCAGAAGGACTGTTAGTCATTAGTTTCTTATTTCATGAGCTACTCTTCCTCTTCTCATTTATGGGTTTTCATCAGCAACCCAAATTCTAAGTATTTGAAGAATCCAGGACTCAGTTCTCAAACCTCGTGTCATCTCTGTTCTCATGATTTTCTGTTCCACAAACTGCTAACTGCATTGTAAGAAGAGTAGGGATATGGTACCCGTCATTGATAGCACCATCCAGTTTATGAAATATTCCCCTGTGTTTTATCTCAAGAGGTAGGCTTATGAATACTGGAAGTGTTCAACATAATGGAGATTAATCTGGAATCAGAAGGGTAATACATCGAAATATAAAGTTACTAGATCTGGAACGAAATTTTGGTTCACCTTCTGTAGCCAAAAGTAAATAGTTTATATTGGCTTTGGACTTGTCACTTAGTAATTAACCTTGGAGCAGCTTCTAACAGATGAATCTACAGCATGGTACTAACAATGACCTTGGAAGAGAATAGTGCATTCCGTGTGCATGGTAAAGTGAAAATAGTACATTGTTAACCACTGAAGAATAAAGGTTGCTGATTTATTTAGTAATGCAGGATTACAGAGTGAGTGAAAATTCTTGGCTTCCTCAAACTTATTTTCACCATAAATCACCTTTATTTCAAAATCTCAGGCATAGAGGTCAGGGAGAACTGAAGAAAAAAAATTACAAGTGGCATTTTCCTTAGAAAATGCAATCTTTTTTTTCTCCAGAATTACTAAAACTATGTAATTATTCATTTTGTAGAAATTATTTTATATTATCTACTGATGATTTTTCTTTCCGATATAAATTATGTCAAACAGATAATGCAAGCATGTATTTGTTTACATTATTAATAGTTCCAAAAGGGGCACCTGGGTGGCTCAGTCAGTTAAGGGTCCAACTAATGATTTCCTCTCAGGTCATGATCTCAGGGTCATGGGATCGAGCCCCGTATGGGGCGCCACGCTCAGCACAAAGTCAACTTAATATTCTGCTTGAGATTCCCTCTGCCCCTCCCCACATCTCTCTCTCTCTCTCTTAAATAAATAATCCTTAAAAAATAGTTCCAAAAGAATAATATTTCCAAATAAGCACATTAAAAGTATGTGCATTCTTTCTAACATTAAATTCTCATCAAATTAAGTTAAAATAAATTGTATTTAGTTTACTTTGCAAAGTGAGATAAATAGCCCTTTAATATATTATCCTCCATATGAGAAAGTTTACTGAAAATAATTAAGGTGCTTATGTGTTTTACTTTATTCAGTGATGCTAAAAATAAATCCTCTTTATAAGGTTATCTAGATTCAAACCTTTGTGGCACAGTAAAATAATCTTGAATAATGACTATACACTTTAAAGTACATTTACAGTGCCTAATACTGAAGGATCATGATAAAGCCATTAAAAATGTCACAAAGAAACCCTTCTTGATTCTGTTCAATGTTCAAAATACTTTGAAATTGTCACCTACTACAGTTTCTACACTACTGATGAAAATTATACTAAAAAGAAATGAAGTAGATATCTAAGATAAATGTATTTTAATTAAGATGTGATCACTATGAATATTATTCTGATTATACACGTTCATTTTGGTTTCTAAATAATTAAGCCTCATCCTGGTTGTTTGATATTTTGTTAACAAGATT